AGATCACGCTTTTCTGTTCTTCTCTATTTTTGCATGTGAAAAGGGTTACGGTGGTTTCTTACAACCACGAAATGTTTATTGTGAAGAACTGTTTATTGTGAAGTGAAGATTCTGACCAACTTAAAGAAGGAGTGGCAGACGGCTTATTTGCTTATTTCTTGAGCCGTTCTAAATTGCACACGAAATTGGTGGCCTTCTAAGAGTTTTGTTTGTGCTGAACTTCTGCAGATTCGATTAGTTTACCCGTTTTTATGATTCTTAACGTCATTTTTCAGGGCCCTCATACGCCACAAGAAGTAGGTGAGAATGGTCTATTGGACGATCTAGAGGAACCCCCGAAGCTCAAGAAAATCAGCATGGATACCGATGATCTCGAAAAAGCTTTGCAGGTATGCTACACTTAGTCAGCTCATTTCATTTCACTGTATGGGACCTAAGTGAATCGCTTAATAAGAATTTATGCGTATCGATAGGGCTAACTGGAAAGTTGCCAAGTTCGAGGAATGTGGTTACACCAGGTTCAGACTCCGCGACCGCTCGACTGGATCGCGCGACCACGACGAGGCGAACCACCACCCAGCAATGCACCGCCGCCACGGCACAGTTCAAACTGGCACTGTGTGAACGCGGCCCACTTGAATTATGCCGCTGCGGGCTGCACCGTTTGGCGGTGAAGCGCTCCTGGTCGTGGTCGCGCTATCCAACCGCGCGATCGCGATGTCTGTACGCCCTCTTAGATGTTCGGTTGACTCCGCCCCGTGCATTTTAGCAGACGTTTTGGCTGCCCGATTCGATATATGGAGATTTTTGCTCAGAAATTCTCTCAATCTCTAAATCCGTGAAATAACTCTGAATTTGCCTAAGTGCGATATAAGAATTTTCGTGAAAACATTACAACTGTGCCGATTTAGAAAGGAGCAGCGGCTGTGGCTGACCAACTTGCTCACTGCTTGGACTCACTTTCGCTAAGTGCTGACAATTCAGAAGTACGTTGACCGATTAGTATATAACCGTCAAACATTTTTTCGTGTGGAGCTCAGGCAGGCACCGCGCGCTAATATTACTAGCTAGTTGACTCGATACGACACTGGCGTCAAATGAGTTGCATGACTGCGGACCGCCTTCACGACCTTCCCTTTATTTGACTGTTCTCTCTGAAAGAAAATTCGACAGTGAACGAACTGGTCTTCTTGCGTTTTAGCCTTAGATCCTGAGTTAAGTAATATTCTCGTTTTTTTCAAACAGACCCCATAATCAGAAAAAAATTGATTAATAAGTGACAGCGGCACCAAAACTTGGAATGGAAGAAAGCAACTTGTCGGGGAAAGGGGAAACGTCGTGAAATGAGCAGTATAGCACGAGGGCGAAGGAACTCATGACCTTATTGAATTGGGTGGAGGGGATCACTCAGGCCGTGCCCGTCACACTCCCCCCCCCCAAACCAGGCTTAGGCTTAGAGCGGCGTCCAGAGTCACTCGGGGTTAGTTACACAGAGAAAACATAATCTCCGCTCAGGTAGCAGAGGAAGGGACACAGCGGTGCTGTAACCACGTTATCGCCTTGATTTGATGCCAAAGTGGTTCATCGATTCTATTAATAGGATTGTTCCCCGAGATGGTGAGGTATAATGGGATGCCCCGAACAATGCCCTTTTTTGATGCATGATGGTCAAACGGAGTACGGTTACGGTAACTATTTGGTGGAGAACGAGATAGCGGCTCGTGGAACGTTTCCTCCTGACAAGCCCTCCTCATCCGCTGCGAACAAGATGTCAGACCCTATAACTGTTCCTCCAATAAGCTGCTTGCAGAAGGATGACTCAGAAAAAATGGACTCACATGATGATGAATCAAGTAAGAAGGAAGCGCATGATCAAGTAGAATTGGCCCGAAAACTCAGTCAGCAGATGGTTGAAGAAGCGTCTACTCCTTTGGCGTCAGCGCTAGCATCAGCTTTGGCCGATGGCGCAGGAGCTGTTCAGACGGTGACTTATTTTTACATTTTTTTTCCTGTGTTTCTATTTCTTGCTCTTGTTTGTTTTCCACCTTTTTTATTTGGAGCATACCCATTTTCGGGATATACGGCACACCTGTATGCAGGGCGAACCCATACCAAAGGTCGCGAATCTTTCTTTCTCGCCTTCCTTTGCGCTTTTTTTAATTATCTCTTATCCATACGAACTGTCATTGTGTAAGGAATGTTTCAAAAACGTTAAGAGGAATAAAAAATGTGAAAGGGGTTAGGAAAGCAGCTACTGCTTTCAGAAAGTTTTAGCGCGCGTTGTCGCATGCCCCTGTGGGAGTATGCTCGCCCACACCCAAGAAAATGGGCTATTTGACCTGTTTGGAAGCGGTGCTTTTTTTCAATTAAGAACATTATTTTCTTCCGGTACTATGTATTGATTATTCGGTTTTAGGCGGTTGGTACTGCTTATGAAGGCTTAGTTGATCTTGCAACTACAATGTCGGAGTCCATGGCAGAAGGAATGAAAGACGCGGCGGAGCTGGCGCAGGAGAAGGTTAGTGGGTTTTCTAGTTTTTTTTTTATTTTTTTCCTGAAGTTTTTACGTGTCTATCTTCGGTTCCTACAGTTGCTGACTAGTATTTTTTTGCGTTTTGTAGGGCGTCGTATAGGGTGCTAAGGTACACATTTGTTCACTATGGATGATGGGGCGTGTCACTGAGGTTGGGTTTGGCCCGTCACTAGCCCGTTCTCCCTGTGTGGATGCAGGGACGTTGCGAGGCTGGCCCTGCGGCCTGGGCGGCCTTGGCTCTTTATCGGGATGTCTGTGGATCATTGTCAAAC